CACACACGGTGTGCAAAATCCGATCGTCAACCTACTTATAGCGTCCATCGGGTAGGGGAGACCGGGAGCCGGGGCTGCTTGTTGATTAGTGATTTAATAGATTAGTTTTTGATTAGTGATTTTTAGAAAAAAGTGGATGCAAAATTTTGAAATATTATGTACATCATAATATACCTACTTCCATTAGGTATAAAAAAAAATATTACTTTAAAATATGTTACCGTATAAATAAGTTATACAATTTTAAGTGAAAATGTGACAATCAACCTCATAGCCGGGTTTCCAGGATTGCTTATCTTATATTTTTATATAAATAACTGTACAAAAAATAATGTAATTTTTATTGTAATTTATTTTATTTTAAGAAAAATAGGAAAAATTATTGTATTTAAAACGGTAACGAGATAAAACCTTTTCCAAATTTTTATAAAAGAGCAACATTAGTTTTATTGAAACTCGTCGCTCTTGCCTTATTTGTTACTTCTGGTTTTCGAATTAAAAGTTTATTGTAACGTTTTATAAATGCTGTAAATTAATCTTCTTCTGCCATTATTTTTAATCCAAGACGGAGGTATCTAAATTGAGTTGCAACGGGCTACATTATAAGCTATAAAAGTTCTGATTTCCTAAGGAGAGAGACCAAAATAAATATCCGAAGCATGTAGAATATATAATCAACTAATTGCTGTTCTTAGAATTAGTAATCTGCTTATTTTTAGCATAGCTAGCCCACATGAATTGTTGGAATAGTAACATTTTCATTACGCAAATAATCCTCCTCTGGAATTTTTTTGCAGTAACGACTTAAAGTACGGTAATTCATATTGAATTCCAGAGCAGCTTGTCGGATGAATAAATTATATACTTTCACTGCTCTAACAGCTTTTAAAACAGTATCAGGCGGAGTTTTATTATATACTTTCACTGCTCTAACAGCTTTTAAAACAGTATCCTAGGCGGAGTTTTACCCCTATTCGTTTTTCTTTTTTGTTTTCGTACCTTAATTTTAACTCACCTAACCTCAATTAACTTCTAAACAATAGAATTCATTTATCCTAGTAATCAGACGCTGCTTAGTTAAAAAAAAAAGTAAAACGAATGGAGAAGCTATATTTGTGTGTAACCAGCGCTGCACTGATTGATTCTTATTTAATTCGTACGAGTAAATTTTTTCCGTTTTGACGGATCCGCGTCTGACGTATAAAATCATCGACGTATAATAACTAATTCTGGCTTATTTGGGTCAATTTACCCCACTTAGCCGTTTTTAATAAAAGTAATTATATTTACAAGCTTTGTCAGACTAATGATTATATAACTGCAGTAAAAATTTTTTAAGACATACCATTTTCTATGATTACAAAAAAATTGCAATTGATAATGCCACTTTTCAAACAATAAAATAGGAGATAAGAAAAATTTACTTATTAATTTCATTTTTATAAAAGTGGTTGTAAATAATATATATACAATGTTATTGGTGCAAATCATTATACACAAAAATTTAATATTAAATTAGCAATCTACAATTAAGATAAATGGTTTTTCTGCTATGTACTAATTAAGTTATATGCATTTTGACAACCAACCCCATACGACAACCGGCCTAGGTCTCTCCTCTAATGCCGACCATACATGAGAAAAATACAAAAGTTACTTTAAAATGCTGTAACTTTGTGAAAAAAAATCATAGTGACTTGTTTTTTCCCAAATTAAAGAGAAAGGTTTAAACTTTATGACGCTGTAAACCGCATCCTCAAAAAAAATTCTCGCAAGTCCGTGCATTCCGTCAAACTTTGCAATTTTCAGTATTGCAAACATGCTCTCAGATTTAAGAGTTTACAGTAGCAGGGGTGCATTAAGTTTAAAATCAACCCATGATACTTTAAAGTAGAGATTGCAAGCTTTCATTTGAAAAAAAGTTCATCATAAGATGATTTTTTGCGGAGTTATCATTAATCAAAGTTGACCAATTTTTTCCCAAAATTTTTCTATGCCATAATTTTTTTGAGCAGTATATACATATAATAATATATACAATATAATGATAAAATATAAATAATTCTAAACAATTCAACATGCAATATTAATAATTATATAATCTCACGTCGGAGTTGAATATTTGTATAAATATTATATTTGCATGGATGTGTGCAAACGCGAATATTAATTTACGCGATTACGTAAAAAATTTTAATTTACCTCGTGAACCAAAAACTTGCAATACATTTCCAACAATTGGATAACCTGCAGGTCCTGGTATAAGATTGATAAGCCGCCCATTTTTTCCATATTGCGTATAATAATTACACACCAATACAACAAGAATAACTAACAGTAATACAGTAATAAACATTGTTAAATAAATAATCAGCCAATCAAAATTTTGTTTCTTTCGGTTCTCTGTTCTTTTAATTCTTAAATCACATGGATTTAATTAAACTGAATTTATATTATTTGCTTCAGGATAATATTGCGATTTTGATATTCTAAATGTGTTTGATAAGTAATAAATACACTGCGAAATGCGTTAATTAAACTTTGTCATTAAAATCTTTAAAGAGATATAAAATACTTTTATTTTAATAAAAAGGGAATGCGCAAATGCACAATAACGTACATGAAGAACTTAAAAATTTTTAATTAATTTGTTTTTAAATTTAATAACTTTAAAATTACTACAAATGCCTCGATATTAATAACAATAATACAATAAATCGAAGCTCTTTTATTGAACGCTCGCGAGTGACTGTTTTACTTTTATGATATCCCTCTTTGTTCCTGATTTAAGTGAATATGTATTGACAATAACAAGATCTAACTTATCATTAAGCCTACCGTACACGATGCGCTTTTCCGTGATCGATTGCATGCGAACTGAAATTCTGAGTGCTGTGTATATTATTTATCATTATTATCAATTTACTAGATCGCATCGTGTGCCATAGATTTTCATCTTTGGATTTTTTAAATAATTACTTATACAAGTTTTATGCATTTTAATGTCAATCATGCAAATCATATGCAACATTGAACATTGATCATATAGATAACA